TACGTAAACCAACGAAGCATTGCTTTCTTAATCTTGGTCACAACATCATGTTAAAATATTAATACACGATATACTATGTCATTTTAGATCAAAGAAAATATATGGACAGTAGCGTTGCATACATTTCAAGTGATGCAAAACCATGCTCAACTTCCTGACACGCACTAACGCACACATCTTTTTTGAAAAAAATATTTTTCTTCGCCAACGCCCCATAGCGATTTTATATTTATAAGTGCTTTCTTCACTATTCACTTTATTTTTATCATCATCACACTTATTTTATGGTTATGTTGAACATTGCCTTACCTCAAATATTATCACAAAATCACGGTCCTGGGCTATATCCATCAACTCCCGCACGCCTCCTCAGGTTGTTGTAAGAACATTTTAAAATGGTTGTACATGTAAAAATAAAAGCTTTTATGTTAAAAGTTTTCTTATTTAAAATTACTACCCGAGGAACAAACTAGCACGAATTTTCGGTACAAGTTTGTAATGCTAATTATTAACCCTAAACTCCAGTGCACCAACACCTGCATCTTGTGCGGCTTGAAATTAACGCGAAGTTTGAAACTTAAAAATGTTGCGTTTGAAACGTTGTTGTTAAAGTAACAGTCTTATGAAATGCAGTAGAATTGTACAAGAAATAGTGTCTAAAGAGAATTTAAATGAAATAAATAACTACATAATTTTTGAAATGACGTTATTTGATTAGGTTATCTTTTTATTAGCTTTTAAAATATGGATATGTGATACAAATAAAATCTAGCATATTGCCCGAGATGCAGGTGTAATGTGTACTTATTCTTTAATAATATATATTATATAAGGTTTTGCCTTCGCAACTTACATCGGCTTTAATAAATACCCCGTCTTGCAAATCACAGGAAAAAAGGTATTTATATAATATCCCCATTTATGTGTATAAAACAATATAATATTGCAATCATGTATCGTATTGTTTGTAATATGGTGTAATTTTATTATAAATATTATGTAAGTTGAGAGAGTTATTTAAGATACATTTTCTGTATTTTGAACGACATTTCTTATTCTTTTACTGCTTCGTCCTCTTTTTTGTCGAAAATTTGATGTGTGTTGTGTATTCGGAGTAAGATTTGTGTGTCCGTTGTACCCGATGATTGTTGCATGGCTTGTATGTGTTAATATTGGATGTTCAGTGTATGTTGCATATTCGATGTATCGGTAGTGTATAATGAATCCGTTGTGCTTGGGGACTGCTGCGCATTTGATAACTGTAGGTTTTATGCAGATAGTCTTGTTGATTATATACGAATACAGTATCTCCTAGCGCTTTGGTAAGTGTACTTCATGTGTGAATAGCTGCTTGTTTTGAAGGATGGTAATATTATTATGACTATCTAATTTATCTATATTTCTTAATACTTTTACGAGTATCTACCACTCCTGTTGCGCTTATTTCTATCAGAATGACCGTTGCTTGTGTATTCCACAAACAACTAACTTCAAATTTCTGCAGGTAGTATATGCTTAATTTTTCAATTTCTTTGGGACCTGTATTATAGTCTCATGATACAGTTATATAACAAATCAGGCCTATTATGTGTTACAGTAATATCAGTTTGAACGCCTGTCCCACATGATTTTAGCAAACTCATTGTCTTTAATTTGTGGCCGGAGGAGGATTTCTTGCCATCAAAGGTTAGAAACTTCTATTTTGTTCTTTTTGGCCAGACTCCAATAGACGTACTGGACTTATAATGTCTCACTTTACATAACATGTCCCTACTAATTTGTCACGTCCGGATATTATGTTCTGCGTGGTTTCATCGTTACAGGCACAGAAACGACATTTTACATCTACTGGCTCATTTAATATGTTACTTCGATATAATAATGGCCTGATCTTGTATTGTAATAACTGATAACTCTGTAATTGGAGATACATGTTGATTTTTAAACCATTTATACGAAAGTTCTAAGTCTATACTGGCCTAATCTAATACTTTTTTAGGAAATTGTACCCATAAAAGCTTTTTTCGCCACAGTTCATAGTGTTTTTAACTACTGCCATCTTAGTCTCTTTTTATGTATATGTGTTTCCTTGTGCTAAGTGTGATTCTCCATTTATCTCTGGCTCTGACTTCTTTTGTAATTGATATCTATCCTTATGTGTATCGTGTTGGATTATTATTTTAATAAGGTGATCGCTTTCTGATTTCAATATTGCTTATATTTAACTATCTGTGCTTTATACATGTATTCTATATTTATCAAACCTCTTCCTTCTTGTGTTACAGGTAAGTATAGCCTTTCGGTTTTTGATTTTTGTTGATGTACCTTTTTTATTGCTAGTAACTTCCTTGCTTTTATATCTATTTTCTTAGGATTACTATTTCTATAACTTATAATACCAAGTGAGTAATCAAATATCGCGATTGAGATGGGTGTTCAGTAGTTTCTTGATTCTTTTAAAATATTATTTATTTATTTGATTTCTTATGATACTGTGATCTATTTTTCTTGATTCATGTGTTCTTACTCCATATTCATATACATTTTCAGGATTTCTTTTGAGCGTAATATGCATCCTCTAATATAGCCTTACTAACCATTAGATGGTCTGTACATCCCCTGGCACCACGGCGACATCCCCGCGACTCTACGGCGATTATATTATTCTTATCGCAATGGCTATAAGATATATAGCTAATACGGAAGTAAGTAATTTGTAAATGCTCAGTATACATGCTATTGGTCTAAAGTTCTTTGGGTTTACGGTGCTTCCATTTTTAGATATTAATATAACTTGTCCTGTAACGAATTATTCGTCGATTATTTCTGTACCTGAAACTATTTTAGTGAATAATGAAGCTAAGTATTTAAAAACACTGGTAAGGAATTTTAAATAATAATTTTGTATTTTTTCACTCCCTGATGATTTTTAATTTAACAGTTTCACTTGATCCACAAGAGAAGATACACAAGAGGTAACAGACCTCTTGTGTATCTTCTCTGTGTATTTCACTTGACAGCATTTCTACTTATTTTATCAAATTAGCATCGAAATTGAACTATGTTCGGTTTGATAAAATTGAGTTCCGAAATTCTTCCACTCCTTTTTCATTCGGTATTTTGATGTCTTTGTTGTTATTGCATTCTAAACTTCTGTACATTTTACACTTGTTTTCGTAAAATAATCTATTCTGAACTTTTTCGGTGTTCATGTGTTCATTTCTCTTTATTCTACCCGTTAACGCTTTAACTTTTAGTTACATTATCGTTTTATTATATAGTTTTAGTTACATTATTTTAAGTATGCTGGGGTGCACATACCGCGCGTACTCGCGATGTTTTTTAATTTATGTCTATGTCACTCTTACTTACCTGAGGCTTTAATGCGCACTATTGTGGTACCGATTCTTAAAAATATGACTGGTGACACATCTGATAAAAATAATAATCGGCCTATCTCACTTGCTACAACAACAGCTAAGTTGCTTGACAGTCTGTTGAATAGCAATCTCGAAAAACATGTGAAGCTGAATGATGCCCAGTACGGGTTTAGAGCTGGATTATCTACCGAGAGTGCTACTCTGAGCTTGAAACATACTGTAAACTACTATACGGAGAGAAGGACTCCAGTATACGCTTGCTTCCTCGACCTGTCAAAAGCCTTTGATCGCGTAATTTATGACCGCTTATGGGAGAAGTTGGGGTCTGCGGGTGTGCCGATGGAGTGCTCTCCCTCTCACTCTTCAAATTCTGGTATTCAAACCAGAAAAATCAAGTGAGATGGGCCGGTACGCGTTCGAATGAATAAAAATTGCAATGTAGTGTAAGACAGGGGGGTTAAGCTCGCCTCGTCAATCAGCATATTGAGCGACTCCGTAGTACTCATGTCGGCTGTCATATTGATGATATCTGCTTCAATACTATAAGCTATGCTGACGACATGGTGCTGCTGAGTCCCTCAATAAATGCACTAAGGACTTTATTGTCAATATGTGAGACATATGCGGAGGCACATGGGCTTAAATATAACGCTAACAAAAGCCAACTTGTTGTGTTCAAAGCAGGCAATCATCAGCCCTCCCGTGTGCCTCCAGTAGCCATCGATGGGGTGCCTCTAAAGCTGGTGGATAGTTTTAAATATTTGGGACACATTGTGACAGCAGACCTCCAGGATGACGAAGACATAGAAAGGGAGCGCAGGGCGTTGACAGTGAGAGCCAATATGCTTGCTCGCAGGTTCACTAGATGCTTCCTCACAATGGCAGTTGTCCTTAGGATAACAGCTTTTTGAATATTGTTCCTAACGGACATTAGTAGGTCTCGCTTAGCAAGATTTTCATTAAGCTGCTGCGGTATTATTCCTGTAGTTGAGATGATGAGCGTAAGGACTTCTACTTCATTCTGAAGCCACATTTGTCTCACTTCTTCAGCAAGCGGTTGGTATTTTGTCTTTTTTTTCCATTATATATTGCTGAATATTATGCGATTTGGGAACCCCAACGTCTAACAGACAAGTCCGTTTCTCCTTTTTATGAAGAATTATAATATCTGGCCGATTATGGGGGACGGACCGATCTGTTAGGACTGATCTATCCCATTACATTTGAATGTTGTCATTTTCTAGCACGGGACTAGGGGAGTATTTCCAGTACGGGTTGTCATCCTTCAGTAGATCATATTTTCGGCCCAGTGCTAGATGGATTATTTTGGCGACATCGTTATGACGCTGAGTGTATTCTGATGCAGCAAGAGCCTGGCACGAATCCGTGATATGTTGGATCGTTTCAGGTTTCTGATAGCATCGTCTGCGTAGGTCATCTTCGACATCTTGTTTTGGCTATGTATTTTAGGTAATTCATTAAATCATCATAAAAATCAGAATTACTAGATCCTGTATTGCTATCACAAAACCCCCAGTTTCTGCAAACAGTTCCCCACGGCGCAACCAATTGGTCGACGCTGCAATATCAACGTGAGGGCCTCTAAGCTCGTGAGCAAACCTTCCATGTAGTGGTTTTGAGGCCCACTGGTTAAGTTTGGTCTTAAGGTATTCGGCATCTGCAACCAAGGGCTCAACTTCTTTAGAATGAAGAAGATCCAGTGGAGTATAGCCATTATCCGCTAACGTGACTATTTGGTGTAAGGGAGACGACTCTTTGCTGAGAAAGTAATTTTGTAAGTTTTTTATTAGCTTGGAATAAAGCCGCCTTAGGTCAACGAGACCTCTTCCCCCTTCAGCTCTTGGCAAAGTTACTCGTTCAGTAGCGGAATTAGGATGATGGAACTGATATTTTGTCAATAATACACGGGTAGTTCTCTCAATGTTCCCGATATCGGTGTCTGACCATTTTACGATTCCGAAGGTGTAAGTTATTGTTGGCATTGCGAAAGTGTTGATTGCCTTGAAGATGTTTTTGCTCTTAAGACCCGTTCCTAGAATGTGAATGTTATACATTTAAATTTATACATGTTTAGAAAGAGTTCAATAATAATAAAACTTATTCATACTCATTTCAATTTTACATTTTATAGACACATTTTATACGTGGTATAGCCACTATATTATGATTGTGGTACAAAAGCCCATACAAATATGTGAGATGTGAGACCATGGCTCTGCACCGGTCGAGCCGATGCTAAATAGCAACTTAATGTTGTTGTGAGTGTAGAGAACCGGATACATTATATACTGAAAACGCGGTATACCATCTCAGTACCCAGATATGATAACGCATCTGCATTTTGATTCTTAATTGTGTATAGATGTCTAGATGAGTATATCATATGTATTTGTGTATATATGTGTAGATGAGTGCATCAACTTAAAATCAGACGAAATGTGTTCTGTGAAAAAAGTTATGACGATGATGTTGCCATTTCCAACTTTACTTTCGTCACGATGTTCACCCATTGAATAAAGAACATAAGAATATTATTGAACAGAAGAAGAAAGGTCGTGATAACTTAGGAGCTAAGCGCTCACCATAAAGGAGACAATCGCCATAAAGGATGTTTGTCGTTGTGCAATTAATGTTTTTAAACTGTCCCCACGATTCATGAGAAAATCCTAGTGTGGAGGTTACGTTTTTTAAAGAATTTGTAAAAATTTGTAAATTAGAAAATCGTTTTAGGCCCACTAGAAATATTAACGACCCTCAATGTTATTATATACAAAAAAGATACATTTATTTTTGTTAACAGCATAAATATTTTATAAAAATCTTAACGGAATCAAGAAATCTGAAAAAAAAAGGGTTGTTTTGATATTTGTGCTCAGTTAATTGGTTCTGATAATGTAATATTAAATAAAATTGTAGTAGAGATGTGCCAACTCTGAAAAAACTTGATTCGAGTTAACTTGAGTTGAAATTTACGTAAGTCGAATGTAGTTGCGTTACGCAACTGAAATTGGCGGAACGAAGCTGTGTCAGTTTGTTACAAATTACTTTTGTATTTTTTACTCCCATCCAATACAATTATTATTACTAAACTTTATAGGTAGTTATATATTTTTGGTTTGCCTATAGACAATCTTCATAAAATAATATCACTCTAACTTTGTGACGTAGCTATCAATGTTATTAATAATTTAGCTATCACAAATTATACTTAATCGGTTTACTGATATTACATAATATATCAATAAATTGCTCAAATTAGAAACTAGAGGTCATCACTAAATTGTAGACAGGCACTGCATTGACCTTAAGATAAAGATGCGTCATAGGTAAAGACCTAGATCAATATACCAGTTGGTGTATTTTCTTACATCAATACAACTTTGTAACAATTCGCCGCTTGAATCAAACAGACGCGTAACTTTATCATTATCTGCTACGAGATATAATTACTCATACCAGTTAAAACAAACTTCTAACGTTAATTAATTTTCTTTGAGTTTAAAGATATTATTTTTGTTTGTTTACTTGTACTCTCTTCAAAGTAAATATTAAATGTTTAAGTATATTTAATTTTAGAGGAGGAAAACATTTGTCGATATTGTATTTATTTTATAGGATAGGGTGACAAACGAGCACACAGTCCACCTGATGAAAAGCAGTTGCTGTGACCCATAGACATCTATATCTATCCTCAATAAAGAATCAAAATGCAGATGAGTTGTCCCCCGTGAGGACTAAGATGGAATGCCTCTTTGCCAGTAAAAAGTGTTTCCGGTTCTCTACACTCACCATACGAAACACAGCAGTGCTAAGCTCACGCTGGTATTCTGTTAGAGCGTGGTCCTTCCCCAGTCGAGCCGACTCATTCGTACTACAAATATAGGTACTAATAATATAGCTGCAGCATGGCTTTACCACGTATAAAAAGTTGTAAGCCCACTTAATGAATGATAGATACGACGGCGACGCAGTCAGCCTAGTCAAGGTATTGGCAAGGTCGGTACTGTACACACAAAATATAACATAAACTTTCGGCAGTACTTTTTCGGAAGGTGGAGGACAGAGTGCAGAGTTGGCACGTGAAATGTTAGAAGAGGCATGAGAGATAAGACGAATGAGTTGATCGAAATAATGAAAGAAAGAGAATTAGATGTCGTGTGTATGTCGGAGACCAAACGGAAGGGCAGTGGTACTGAAGAGCTCCCTGGCGGGGCGTTAGCTCTATGGTCCGGAGTCCCGGAGAGCGAGAACGCCTGCTAGGGAGTGGGGGTACTGCTGTCTTCTCGGTTGGTCGATGTTATGACTGAATATAAGGTTGTGAACTCAAGACTTCTCTGGGTTCGCTTTAAATTGGGACTGACGAAGTTATTCCTTTTGGCTGTTTATGCGCCGGTAGCTTCGTCGTCCAGGGCTGAGCTGGAGGAGTTTTGGGAGAATGTAAGAGAAGTTCCAGATTTGGCTAGGAGAAACGAAAGAATTGTTGTATGTGGTGATTTGAATGGATGGGTTGGTACCGCTCGACCAGGGTACGAGTCGGTACTTGGAAAGTTTGGCGATATAAGGGTTAATGATGCTGGCAAGCTTATACTGGCGGTATGCAAGGAAAAGGGTCTTCTTATGACAAACACTATGTTTAATCACAAGAAAATCCATATGTATACTAGAGAACGAAAGAATGAGAGAAGTATGATCGATTTGTTCCTGGTGGATGACCGACTGCGAAAACAGGTGATGGATACGCGAGTGTTCAGGGTTGCTGACCTGGGAACGGATCACTATCTAGTGATTACTAGATTTAGGGGTCTGTTCGTGGGTTGGCGCAACCGGACGGCAGTAACAGAACCACAGTTGGTCTGTCGCATCCGAAGCTGGAAGCTTCAGGAAGCGGATACTAGGGACAAATATCATGCGAGGGTAGCCGAAAAGCTTGACACCATCGATGGCAGAAAAGAATGTGTAGAAAGAACATGACAGAACCTTAGGGATGGAATGGTAAGTGCAGCGGAAAAAGTGTGTGGAACAATAAAAAGAGGCAGTAGTAAAAGAAGAGATGCATGGTGGAATGATGAAGTGAAAGAAGCTGTAAAGAAGAAGAAGAAAGCATGGTTAGACTACTTGGCCTCTAGTAAAGATAAGGATATGAGAGAGAAGATGAAAGAAAGATATAGGCTGCAGAACGTTCACACGAAATCATTGATTGTGGAAGTGCGTGAAAGGTGTAGAATGGAAGCGGACGAAAAGATGTCGCACAATTTTAAGGAGAACTCCAAACTCTTCTGGAAAGAGGTTGGAAGGACCCGAAGTGGTGCGACGGCCTTAAGAATGAACAAAGTGCTTTCGAGAACTAATGACGTCCTATCAGAAAAATCGGACGTGATGCAGCGATGGAGCGAATTTTATAGAGAAATGTATGCGTGTGATGATTTTAGTGAGAGATCCGGGGGTGACGCCGTGACTAGTACGCCAGACCCGGACCTCGATGATACTGAGGTCATCAGTATGAAAGAGATTGAACGTGCGATTCGAAGTTTGAAATGTGGTAAGGCTGCGGGACGACTAGACAGAGTTACTACTGAAATGGTCAAGTATGGTGGGCCTCGCGTCTGGGACAGCTTCCATCTGCCATGCAATTTATGCTGGCGGACCGGGGATGTCCAGGATGATTGGCGATCCGCAGTCATTGTGCCTTTATATAAAGGTAAAGGTTCACATTTTGACTGCGGGTGCTATCGGGCGATCAGCTTGACCAGTTTAGCAAGTGAAGTTTACTCGAAGGTTTTGACACGTAGGATGCAAGAGAAATCGGAAAGATTTCTATGGTAGGCACAATGCGGATTTAGATCTGAAAGAGGATGCACGGATCAAATGTTTTCTCTCCGCATGATCACGGAAAAGCTTCTGGCTGCTAACCAGAAGATTTTCTGTGCTTTTGTGGATCTTGAAAAAGCATTTGATAAGGTTGTAAGGAAGAAAATGTGGGAACTGTCGCCGGGGTGTGGTGTGGATGGTCGATTGCTAAGGGCTGTGCAGTCTCTTTACTGTGACTGTAAAGCCTGTGTGCGGGTAGGGCATGACCTGTCACCCATGTTTAGCATCCAAACGGGCGTAAAACAGGGTTGTGTCATGTCTTCCTGGCTGTTCATACTGTATCTCGACACCTGTTTACAGAAGCTGAAAGATAGATGTTTGGGTGTGAAATTGGGTGACATAAAAGTAAATTGTCTGCTGTATGCTGATGATGCAGTGCTTATTGCACCATCAGAGGCAGAACTGCATGCATTAGACACGTGTATGAAAGACGAATGTGAAATTAAACGTCTCCGTTTGAATGCTAATAAAACTAAGGTTCTGGTATTTGAAAGGGACGAAGAGAGAACGAAGTGTGAAATATGGGTAAATCAGGAATCTCTAGAACAGGTAAATGAAATTGTATACTTGGGGAGTGCTTTTAGCCGGGTTGGAAGATGTGATTTAGATGTGGACAGGCGTGTCGCTGCCGGGAACAAAGTCAATGGTGCCCTGACTGCGTTACTCAAAAGGCAAGGCGTAGTGAAGAGTGCACGCCTTGCAATACATAACGCAGTGTTGGTACTGACTTTGTTATATGGCGGCGAAACCTGGGTATGTCAGAAGAAGCATAAAAGCAAGTTGAATGCAGTGGAGATGCGATCTCTTCGTAAAATGTGTGGCGTTACCATGGCCGACCGAAAGCGAAACGAAGAGATTCGCAATATGGCAGGTTTGAAAGATGACCTTATCACAAAAATTGATAAGGGCGTGCTTCGGTGGTTTGGGCACGTTGAGCGAATGAGTGAAGACCGAATGGTGAAGAAAATATATAGCGCGAAAGTTAATATTAAAAGGTGTCGAGGTAGACCGAGACTAACTTTTGAAGACCATGTGAGCAAATTGCTCGAAGAGGGTAGGTTCAAGTAAACTCGGATACCTAGACGTGCATCTATGAAGAAGATAATTAATCCGA